AATGAAATTTGTGTCGAATGAAATTTTTGTCGAATGAAATTTTGTCGAATAAAATTTTTGTCGAATAAATTTGTTGACAAATACAATTTTTGACGAACAATGTGTCGAATGAAATTTATGTCGAATAAAATTCTTGTCAAATAAAACTTGTCAAATATTTTCTGAAAGTGTCGAATATATACATTTGAGTGAAATATATTTTTTGAAAGTGTCGCATATATTATTTGTTTCCCTAAAGGCGTGCCATAAAGGCATGATCAAAAGTTATTCAGACGATGGTAATTACTATGGTGATATAGATGATGATGATGATGGTGATGATGATAATAATGATGAATATGATAATGATGATAGAAAGGATGATGATAATGATGATAGTGGTGGTGGTGGTGGTGGTGATGAATATGATGCTGATGATAATGATGATGGAGAGGATGATGATGATAGTGGTGGTGGTGGTGATGAATATGATGATGATGGTGATAATGATGATGATGGAGAGGATGATGATGATGGTGGTGATAATGATGATGGAGAGGATGATGATGATGATGATGATGATGGAGAGGATGATGATGATGGTGGTGATAATGATGATGATGGAGAAGATGATGATGATGGTGGTTATAATGATGATGGAGAGGATGATGATGATAGTGGTGGTGGTGGTGATGAATATGATGATGATGGTGATAATGATGATGATGGAGAGGATGATGATGATGGTGGTGATAATGATGATGGAGAGGATGATGATGATGATGATGATGATGATGGAGAGGATGATGATGATGGTGGTGATAATGATGATGATGGAGAGGATGATGATGATGATGATGATAATGATGATGATGGAGAAGATGATGATGATGATGATGGTGGTGATGATATGATGATGATGATGGAGAGGAGGATGATGATGGTGGTGATAATAATGATGATGGAGAAGATGATGATGATGGTGGTGATAATGATGATGGAGAGAATGATGATGATGGTGGTGATAATGATGATGATAAGGAAGATGATGATGATGGTGTTGATAATGATGATGATGTAGAAGATGATGGTGGTGGTGATAATGATGATGATGGAGAAGATGGTGACAATGATGATAAATATGATGAGGATGATGATGATGGTGGTGATAATGATGATGATGGAGAAGATGATGATGATGATGGTGATAATAATGATGATGTAGAAGATGATGATGGTGGTGATAATGATGATGATGGAGAAGATGATGGTGGTGGTGATAATGATGATGGAGAAGATGATGATGATGATGGTGATAATGATGATGATGGAGAAGATGATGATGATGATGGTGATAATGATGATGATGGAGAGGATGATGATGATGATGGTGGTATTAATGATGATGATAAAGAGGATGATGATGATGATGGCGGTATTAATGATGATGATGGAGAAAATGATGATGATGATGGTGATGATAATGATGATGATAAGGAAGATGATGATGATGGTGGTGATAATGATGATGATGGAGAGGATGATGATGATGATGGTGATAATGATGATGATGGAGAAAATGATGATTGTGGTGATAATGATGATGATGGAGAAGATGATGATGACGATGGTGGTGATAATGATGATGACGGAGAAGATGGTGATAATGATGATGATGGAGATGATAATGATGATGATGATAATAATGATGATGGAGAGGATGATGATGCTAACGGTGATAATGGTGATGATGATGATGATGAAGATGATGATGAGGATAATAATGATGATGGAGATGATGATGATGATGATGATGATAATAATAATGATAATGGTGGTGATAATGATGATGATGGTGGTGAAGATGGTGATGATGGTGAATATAATGATGATAGTGGTGGTGGTGGTGATGAATGATGATGATGATGTTGAGGATGATAAGTATGTTACTTTGTTTTGTTTTGTTTTGTTTTGTTTATGTATGTTTGATTGTTTTCTGTTTGTTTGTTTAAAACTATTTTTAAAACTCTATTTATTTGCTTGTCCAAAAATTTTTATAATTATTTGAAGAGTAATTAATACTACCTTACAGTTAATGATATTGTAATTTCCATTGCTTGATGTTGTATCTAAGATGCATAATTATCATATTGAATATAATAATCTGTATTTAAGTTGTATTTGAATATTCACACGGTTTATGATAATTCTGATTCCATATCTGGTTCATTAATAATTTCAATTAATTTTGATGCAGTCCTTATTTCACAGTTTTAGTGATATTGCAATTTAATGATATTGTAATTTCTATTGCATAATGTTGTACGATATGTATTTTAAGATGCATAATTTGTTATATTGAATACAATAATTGGTATTTAAGGTTGTATTTAATATTTCACATGGTTTATTTATAATTCTGAGTTCATATCTGGTTTATTTATATATTTCAATCAATTCCGATGCAGTCCTTATTTTGTTAATGGTCACATTCTTCTTTGCCATTACTTGTAATTCAATGTTTTTAACAGGTTTCTTTAGTATTTCTCACTTTTCCTTCCTTATCCTTTCTTCTTTCTCTTGCGCCTTAGAAACATTGTATTATAGCGCATTATAATGTAATGTTTTATATTATTATTATTATTATTATATCACTCTGCAGCCACCGATTTTTTTTGTTTAAATCGTAGGGTGGTAAATGGGGTTCTAGAACAATTACCCCCTGGGCAATCGGGAATCACCCCAGGAAAATTACCCCCCCCACCCCCCCGGAAAAACTACCCCCAAGGACAATCATTAACCTAATTGTAGTAGTACAAAAGGTTTAAGATTTGGGTTAGGGTTAAGTTAACATTTAGAATTAAGATTTTGCTGAATCGGGCACTGATATAATGTGGAGAGCTGGTAGAAGTTTCAACTTTTTATTCTTGGGAAAGTAACCTAATGGCCCTTTTCCATTCCAACGGCATTTTCTGGAGCCGCTATTAGTCTACTGCATGGCCTTCAGTAGAATTAATATCGAATGAACATCGTGAAGAAGAACACAAAGTAATGTAGGCCTACATTAAGTTTATCTGGAATGATCATCTGCGATTTAAATAATGTATAAAATACGAATGATATATCCCGTTATTATCTTGAATGAACATCACTAATCAAATTGTTATATGAATGAAGGGTTTTCATACCCTGTTAGTTCATGCTATAAAAAATCAGACTGTTTTGTGCATGATGGAAATCCACATAAAAATCATCAGATGAATAAATGCTTAGGTTTCAGAATAATCAATTTCTTTAATAATGCCATTTCTATAAATCATATACTATCATGGATGATTACAATACCAACGTTCTTCCTTCCCTCGTCCTCCTCCGTATTCTCCTCGTCCTCGTCCTCATCCTCATGTTCCTTCTCTTCTTCTTCTTCTTCTTCTCTTCTTCTTCTTCTTCTTCTTCTTCTTCTTCTTATCCTCCTCCTTCTTGTTGTTATCCTTTTCTCTACTTCTTCTTCTTCTTCTTCTTCTTCTTCGTCTTCTCTTTTTTTCATCGGCCTTCCTTTTCTTGTTAAAAAAAAACTTTGTTCTTGTTCTTCTTTTTCTTGTTCTTCACCTTCTTCCTCAACCTCTTCAGTCCTCGTCCTTTTCTTCTTCCAAATTTGACCAAATATGACTTGAGGTAAACGTATGAACATGTCTCTGGTATGACCTAGATTCCTTTTTGTTTACTGTATCGTATGATTGTACATTTCACAGTAAATTAAAATTCATTAGTTGTAGATTTCATCCTGCTTCAATGTAATTTCCAGGTTGATTGACAGTTGAATGTGGAATTATCATTTTCTTGTTGATTTCTGGTAAATTTCATAACTCACATTCATAGTTAGTACATTTCATCCTGCCCACCAGATGTTAATCGTGCATTTCAATATACGACCACCTGATAATTATTCATGTTTTTATTAATGCCCGCCCGCAACCAATCATCGGTATGCACTTGTATTGTGCAGCGGTTTGGGCGTGAAACCTATGAAAAAGTGTATACTAATATCAACGTTTCCGAAAAACACTCCAAAAATAACAAGAACATTGACACGAAACAGGTATTACATAACCACATTTTAACTCATGATCTTTATTTGGACATTTTATGAATATTTACTTCATTTTGGGTATGTTTTAGTAGGGGTATCTCCACGCCGGAGTTACAGGTCAAATTTTGGATAGGCTTCTGAACTAGCGCCAGTACTAGCGTACGCAGGATTTTTTTTCAAGGGGGGGGGGGGGGGGGGAGGTTTAACACTTTTGAATGGGGCGGGGGGGGGGGGGGTAAGAGGACTTTTTTTTGGGGGGGGGGTTATTTTATTTTAAAACAAAATTAAAAAAACCTTAAGGGGGGGGGTTCCTCCAAAATACACACATTAAGACAAAAAGGGGGTTACCCCCCCCCCCCCCCCCCTGCGTACGCGCCTGACTAGCGCCATATATTTTGTCCCTTTGTCCTTCCCCGTAATCTCCTCGATCGACCTCCTCCTCCTCCTCCTCCTCCTCCTCCTCCTCTTCTTCTTCTTCTCCTCTTTGTTCTTCTTTCCTCCTCCTCCTCCCTCTCTTTCTTCTCCTTTTCCTCTTCTTAAATTCTTCTTTTCCTTTTCTTCTTCTTCTCTTTCTTCTCATTCTTGTTCTTGTTCTTCTCTTCTTGTTCCTGTTCTTGTTCTCTTATTCTTCTTCTTCTGCCATTATACGTACGCCTCGTTAGCCCTTCACTTTACTCTATCGGGAGATCAATTAACTCACATCTTCCAAATCTCACCGTTTCTCATTGGTTTCTCTTTCTTCAAAGGAACTAAACGAAGTAGAAGTTCACTTAGTTCAGTATGGAAAAAAGTTTAAAAACAACTCACACCCTGTCTAAACATTCGATTCTCGATTATGAGGATATCCAACTCTAATTTCAACGCACCCGCGCGCGTCGGTCGCTATCACATCTCGCTCGCACTGAGAAGGAGCATCGCGCATTGGAAATGCCAGGCTAGCTAGAGAGACAAGAACACACGAATTGTGAAGTTGCAGACGACACTGAATGCCAGGAAATTGTGTTTTGGACCTTGATTTGACCTTCCCTTTCAGAGGATGCCGATCACGATGTCCCGAAGAAAGCAGAGTAACCCAAACCACTGAAATGTAAGTAGTTTTTCGTTTTCTGTGATGTGAAATGCATCTTTTGGGTACCCGATTTGCCTTGCATTCGCGACAGAGCAGCATAGTTCGGTACGGGGAAGCTCAATACTGTAACCGGCTACTGAAGGGGTCTTTGTTGGTAGCGGTGTGCTCTTGCTAGCGCGATTCGGCTTGAGATGAATATTTTTTTTCTCTTCACATTTCTCTCATAAATAGTGTGGGAGATGAAAGATATCATCATTTCACATATTTAGAAATAAAATAAATCTTCTTTGTGATGTATTTCAAGGCTTTGTGGGTTTCTCTTGGCTTAAAATTTCGACCGCAATCAACCCACACAAAGAGATTTTCCAGAGCGGCTAAATGCGTAGTGGTAGCATGGTTGTTCTTATGGTTCCCCTGTACACGGGGCGTGTATGTAATACGCCTTACTAGGCGATCTTTCATCCGTAGCTTTCATTATTATCGCCGTACGTACACCGCGTTCCTTATCGTGGCCGGTGATCAGATATGACTTGCTTGTGCCCTTCTCCTCCTGGCCCGCGCTTGTATCATGAAAAAACATGCCATCCGATATTAACTCAAAAATTATACAGCACGATCTGTAGAAACCCCAATTTGATTTTGCTGAATGTTCACACACCTGGATTCCTGTTTGCCCTTCCAAATTTGATGATAACAAATATCTTGGCAACGAAATGAAATCGAGACCTTCTCCATATCCAAACCTGTTATTAACCTACTTCTACTGACTGTTTTGCTTAGTTATCAATAGTATTATCAATTGCACAATCTCCTCTTTACCTCTCCTTGACTATAATTTCGTGAAAAATCTACCCGCTTAAAAATAGCAGGTGATGAAAAATAAGAGAGCCCATGGTTCTGATACATCTGATTGGGCAAATGAATTTCTTTTTAGTATGGAAGTTGGAACTGAATTCAACATATTACTTAGGAAGCTATAAAAGTAGAAATAAAATGTTGGATAGAGCAAACTACAGAAGAATTGACATGGAAGAACTTTGCAGATTTTTGGGGGACCTGCCTCTATGTGTAGCAAAAACGGACAATATTATAGAAAGTTAGAAACAAGATTTCCATGCAAAGCTCTTCATGGAGCTGTCATTACTTGATTCACTTTCTGGTTCCATTTTCTTTCTTTCACTGGTATGCCCAAAAGTAGATTTTAATGCAGCTTGTTGCAAAGATTTATTAGTTAAGCGAATCATTAGAATTATTTAGAATATTAATTATTTGCAGAATGGAAATGAGAGTATTAGATAAGGAAGTGCTTTGTAGTTCAAAGGAAAATGATCTATCAAATGCATGCAGTGAGGGATGTGTAGTACCTGTACTAGTAGGCCCTACTAGTAGGCTAGAATGTATTTTGTTATACATCCTATGTTGAGAGTCAGAAGGGAGTTAAATCATGGACATACTACGAAGGTCCATGGTTAAACTCTGTGTTAGAATATATATGAGTTCATGCCTTTCTTGCTCTGAACACATGACATTGTTGATTATTATTTATCATAAAGACTAGTCAAGAAAGGAGATGAAAACTTTTCAGTTTTAAATGGAAGTGAATTGGAATAAGAAATGTACTCTCTAAAAAAAATTGAGTGATCACGGACGTCACTCCTCTGGAGAGTGAAAATGTAGTGAAAATAGAGAGAACATTCACTCTTTTCTTCTTAGAGAGCACTCTAAAATCAATGATTTTCACTCCTAAACAAGTGATCACGGATGTCACTTCCAAGAAAGTGAAAATAGAGTGAAAATTCACTCTTTTTTTTAAAGAGAGTATATATAGATTCACATGTTTAAAAAATATAATTCATCTATTTCTTTCAGAGGGTAGAACAAATACATTTTCACTAAAGAATTACACTATTTCTAATTTTCTATAAATTAATTGTAGAGAAGAAATGTTTTCAGGTCAGGGGAATCCAGTAGTTTGCCTACAGGTTGAGACCTATACTGGAAAGTAAACTTACATAGTTGCAGACCGAATAAAAGGAAGAAGAATACAAGCACCCCCCCCCCCCTCCCCTTACCTTGACAATTCTTTAAACAAATGAGAAGGCAACTTTGGAGTTTGATGAAGAAAAGAAAAGAAATGAGCAAAATAATAAAATGATTAGAAAAATAACTTGCTTTGATAGGTAGACTATAGTATAGGGTTGGGCTGTCTATCATAAAATAAGCACATGTAAACATCGAAATATTACACTGATCGTTAATTAATGTTTATAGAGAAAATGTGAAGAAAAAAAAGAGAAGGTTGATTAGGAAGTAGATCAAAAGAATACTTGTTGTTGCCGTTTTTACTGTAAATACAATAAATATAAGTCAAGTGTTTAAACTTACCCAGCCTTTAAATAAATTTAAAAATCTGAATTAGTTTTAAAAGAAATTATAAACTCTCATTCATTAAAATTAGGATGATGTCAGATTTTAACAAATTTGAATGAAATATGATGTCTACAAAATTCCTTCTAGTCTCATATTTTACATAAATTTATATAATGCCGATTCTTTTTGTACTTTCAAATTTACATTTTAAAGAGTACCTACTACATGTGTAACCCTACTTGATAGGCTTTGAGCAAGAACAGGCAACAATGTTTTATGTCGATTCGTTGATACCAATTAACAAAAATTGAGAATGATCCCACTAAGAAACAAATTTGTCTCTTTTTTCTTTTTGCAAGATGACAAGAATGTTTTTCTAAGGTGTTTTAATTGAACAATTTTGCATTTTTCAACTTTGGACAGCTATAAACGGGAAAGTATTGAAGAACATTGGTGAGAAAAATAGCAAAGAAAGGACTAAAGAAGAGACAGAGAAGGGGGGGGGGGGAGATATTTGAGAAACTACACAGGCAGCCATAAAGCAATAAATTTCCAAAGGGGAATCAAGATATTGGAGATTACAAAGTAAGGCATTTTGGTGAGGAATAAAGAGACAGGCTTCCTTATCTTTCCCCTATCAGCTAAGTAAGGGACTTTGCACAGCGCAGGCAAGATTGCTTATCAGGCACATAGCTCTGGCTACAGATGGGTGCGAGAGATAAGCGTGATATGAATGGCATCTTATCAGGGAACAGGCACTGATGTGCTCTGGTGATAACAAGTTGGTTATTGCTCTAATGGGCTCTCAAGCTCTTCTCTCCCTCCTCTAGTCTCCCTCCCAGTTTCTTGGAAATTTGAGAGGTTCCTTTCAATTTTAACCGTGTTTGTCACTTTTGTGATATGTAACCACATAACTATCTTTTGTCATATGTAACCACATGACTATCTTTTGTGATATATCTGTTAAATATTTTGGGGTTCAGTTTCAGTTGCTACTGTTAAATTGGTGAGCAAATATAGTCTTTATATGTTAAAAATATCAAACTGCATTGTTCTCTGTCTTACATTTCAGTAGCAGTTTGATAAGCACAATGCTATTTTGAACAATAATGTTCTTTCATTTAAATGTAATTAACCTCAAAAATATTTCTGGCCTTCTACCTTTTCAATCAACATAAGATCTGTAGGTGTACGGTCGGTTCCTGACTTTTCAAAAGTTTCATGCATGTATTATTTGTTTGTTTTGCAGTTGAGTAATCTTGGAGAGCTGTACAATGTATGTAAAGCGCCTGGAGTAGTTTTAATTGATTATGCGCTTTGTATATAAGTTAAATTTATTATTATAATTATTATTGTTTTGAAATGCTGAATTACCGAAAAGTTGGTATTAATTTAATCTAACTTTTAGGAGGGTTACTCCAGATTTAGAAAGTGTATCAATTGGTTATTGATTTTTATTAGATTTAATATTTATATATTTCATATTTTATATTAATGGAAAGTTATTGATAAAGGCTACCCTCTTTTCCCCCCTCTCCATGTACATGTATATTTCTTCCCAGAAAAAATCACGATGTACGAAGGCTATCCACCCTCTAAGCCCAAAAAGCATTGCCTAGATGTGTTTACTATACCCCTTATCAGATAACTTCAAGAAGATAAAAAGAAGAGATTGAGGGGGGGGGGGGGGGGGTGTACCCTCTTTTATCTTCAAGCCTTATCATAGTCTCTGATGCATCCTGTTTTAAAGGTTTGTACATGCTCTACCATGGAATTGAGATAGAATGAATAGAAAAGATGACAGGCTTTTGTGCGAAAATTGCTGGTTCGTTGGGGTGTTCGGGTCTTTTCACCACAACCTTGAAAATATTCTGATCAGGCTGGTAGATAAACTTGTGAATTGGTGTCTGGTAAATGATTCAAAGCTTTAGTTCTTTCTCTGGGGGTGTTGAACAGACTTTACAGGTCGACACATTTGATTTTTATTGCTTTTGTGAAGAGGATTTGTCTAAATGTCTTTTGAAACTTTTTTTTCTTCTTTTTTACTGAAATTTGAGCGAGGGCTCTAAGTGGGAAAAGCGACTACCGTACTCACAAAGTTAAACTGGGTTTCTCATGTATCCTACGATTTGTACAATTAAAGTGATTTGGGGGGGGGGTTTTGTTTTTGTTTTGTTACGTCTATACAAACTAAACTCCATTTTTTCCTCTTGACCTACTTTGTTCCTTCTGTGAGGGAGGGATTCTCCTCCTTTTCTTCCTTTCCTCTTTCTCATCACTACCATCATCTTTATCCTCTTTTCTGTCATCATCATCATCATCATTATCATTACCCTCATAATTGCAAATGCCATTCTCATGCTGATGCTTTTATCCCAAATGGGATGCCAGCGAAACAGCAAAAGAATTCTTGGGAGTTGAGAACAATTTGCTCCCAAACTCTCCAAAAAAGCCTTCTGGAATGAAGAATAGCCATTATAAAAGAAAGACACAATTGTCAACAGATAACAAGTTCAAGAGATCTGAGTAGGATAGCTTAAGTTCAAAATAACTTTTGTAAATAGAATGTTATCCCCCCCCCCCCCTGAACTATGATACACATTACATTATGTCATTCCAAAAATACATGAGTTTAGTTGTTATGTCTT